AAGGGAATGTAAAAAGCAATGCGATAGTATGCCTCGGCGTCTCCGGTTTTCACATTAAAGCGATTCTTTTGGCGACTGCTGTATCGCGGTACTTTGATTTCTGTACCTAGGTTGGTGCATACTTCTTCTACGTGTTCGAAAAGCAAATGAAAGTTTTTTTCTGCATCTTGTCGCATTTCTTCAAATTCCTTTAAAGCGTCGTCGGCTAAGCTCATTGCTTCTGCAAGATCTTCATCAGGTACTTGTAATTGCCGGCTAGCAAAGCAACAACAATTTATAAAAAAGCAAATGCTTGGCTGTTGTCGCTGTGCTAACGGTTTTTGAAACCCTGATAATTTCTATAGATATTCGCACGATACAAATAATTTTTACGGTATTTTCCCCGTGACAAATAAAAAGTTTTTGACAATTTGAAGAAATACAACTTCGAAAGTCCTTTTAAAACGATTTTTCATTTTGCTACGTTAGAGCCGTTGCCGAGAAACTTATGGATACATATACATATACACAAACATTGCTCGTTTAAGGTAATTAGAATAAGGGGCAAAATTTCCTGCAAAAGATTATTTGGTAGCTGTAAACGAAATATAATTGCTCATAAAAATTAAATCAGGGTACTTTTTTATCATCTACGGAATAACTATTTTCTAGTTCATTTTATAAAACATTTTTTAATAAATAAAATTTTAAAACTTTTATACGTAAACTAATGAAACAATAAAAACTTACTTGTTAAGAGTCCTTCTTTAATATAAAAATAATTTTAAAAAGTTACATCTTCACATACTAGTTATAATTAATACAGGCCTACCGCGTATGGCTGATTGAGGTGCCTATGCGCAAGATATTAATTCGGCAAGTTGCAGGTACTCTGGTAACAAAATGCAAAACGCTGTTTCATGACTATTATTGTCCCTTAGTTAATCAAAGATTAAGGAACGTTCATGCGTATTTTCATAGGCATAAAATATTATCGAAATTTTCGATTTTTGTCCAGCCAAATCGTCTTTTGCCTTTTGTGCGATCGGAAAACTCTGTTTCTCATCAGAAGACTTCCAATCATAATACCTAATTATTTACTGTTTAGGTAGAATGCCATCCGAACCGGGCGATTTGAGATAGTGAGAAGCCCCAATAGCATATCTTAGGGCATCTTCATTAGCCACAGTTCTGAAAACAAACCAGTTATATCTTGACACTGTGGTTCTCNCCCTTAGTTAATCAAAGATTAAGGAACGTTCATGCGTATTTTCATAGGCATAAAATATCATCGAAATTTTCGATTTTTGTCCAGCCAAATCGTCTTTTGCCTTTTGTGCGATCGGAAAACTCTGTTTCTCATCAGAAGACTTCCAATCATAATACCTAATTATTTACTGTTTAGGTAGAATGCCATCCGAACCGGGCGATTTGAGACTGTGAGAAGCCCTAATAGCATATCTTAGGGCATCTTCATTAGCCACAGTTCTGAAAACAAACCAGTTATATCTTGACACTGTGGTTCTCGTATACCCCTCACCAGTCGAAAATGAGTCTCTAGAAGAACAGAGAGTGTCTCAATCCTAGTCTCCGTTAAAGAGTCGTCACCGAATTATACTATGTTCTCACGGCACGTAATTCGCTCTCCCATTCGTAATTGTCACTGTAAACACTGAAACCTGTTCCCCCTGTGTGCGATATTCTTTGCTCCACAGTCTTGAGCCAATCCCAGTTAGCTTGGGGTGGCATTTCATCACAATGGTTCCATCTCTCTCTTATGAACGAGCATTGTCTACAGTGCCGGAGGCAATGAGGGCCGGTTANTTGACACTGTGGTTCTCGTATACCCCTCACCAGTCGAAAATGAGTCTCTAGAAGAACAGAGAGTGTCTCAATCCTAGTCTCCGTTAAAGAGTCGTCACCGAATTATACTATGTTCTCACGGCACGTAATTCGCTCTCCCATTCGTAATTGGCACTGTAAACACTGAAGCCTGTTCCCCCTGTGTGCGATATTCTTTGCTCCACAGTCTTGAGCCAATCCCAGTTAGCTTGGGGTGGCATTTCATCATAATGGTTCCATCTCTCTCTTATGAACGAGCATTGTCTACAGTGCCGGAGGCAATGAGGGCCGGTTCACATGGGTCTTGCAGTGTCTATTTTCCGCAATTGTCATCTGCCGAGTCTAACATGGACACAAGTGCAAACGACTTCGGTCTCCTTTCTTATTTTTATTTAAAATTTTGCATAAAAATCTTTTTTAGCATATATCTCAAAGAAGGCTGCTCAAATATTCCTACTTGTGTGATTTACGAGGGAATAAACGACGAGTGTTTGTCGGACTCTGTAAACCTTTGTAAGGGCATTCCTACTCTGCAACCCTCAACAAAAAGTTCGTATACTTGAAAAATGCAGTTTGCCTCTCTGTCTTCCACTGAACTACATTTTTAACCTTTCTCTCTCTAAGGGTATTTTCATTGGTCTTTGGAAAGTTGCCTCTGTTTCACCGGNACTTGTGTGATTTACGAGGGAATAAACGACGAGTGTTTGTCGGACTCTGTGAACCTTTGTAAGGGCATTTCTACTCTGCAACCCTCAACAAAAAGTTCGTATACTTCAAAAATGCAGTTTGCCTCTCTGTCTTCCACTGAACTACATTTTAAACCTTTCTCTCTCTAAGGGTATTTTCATTGGTCTTTGGAAAGTTGCCTCTGTTTCACCGCGATTTAAATACGAGAAGAAACGATGTCATAAATTATAGAACCATTCCAAACAGTTTACTTGTACCAAACTTTTCTAAATGATAGTTAAAGAAAAATAATTTTGTTAAAATTGTGTGTTTGCTTTAAATTTGTTCGTGTTCCTTTTGTTATTGTGCATATAACTTCTTAGAGTAGTTTTTGATTTTATGCTACGTTTTCTCTACTACTGAAAAATGTTGCCTTCTCATTGCCCTCTGCGCACAAATATCTAGAAGAGGGCAATGAAAAGGCAAACTTTTTTTGTAGAAAAGAAAACGTCCTAAGTTATACTCTTTCGAGGCCGCCTCTGGGGTACCTCAGCGTACTCTCGGCACTGTATTAGCATTTTTATATCTGCGATAACAGGGCAATGCCTTACAGACAGACATAACCATGGAGAAGCCATTGTAGCTCGCGAGCAAGAGGAGAAAACTATTACATATATGTATGTACACTTCCTATGTCGATCTCTTGGCCTATCCTTAAGAAGGCTTCGTTTGTTTGCCGTAGCCATAATAAAATTTTCAAATTCAAAATTCATCCATAGTCTGGAAGAGCTTAGAAGGTTTTGAAATTTCAACCTCAATTCCTAATTGGGAAAAGTGTAATTTTTATATACTCGGTCCGCATGCTTATATTGCGTTAGAACAAATTTGTAGTAATTTGCTTGTCTGTATGCATCCAATTTGTGGTATGCGCCCTGGTGCTATAAAACAAATGGAGCGGCCTAAAATTTTACGCTGCCTACAAAGGTCAAATGGTTTTTATGAAAGACTTTCTCAAGGCAGAAATACACTCGGAGGCTTACCATTGCCTGCCGAGGAATAAGCTTAAGTAAAGTTAATGTACGTATGTCACGAACAAGTTATTGTAATTATTGTAAACAATCTTCGCACCTGCTTATGAATATATGTACACTAGGGTGGTCCAAAAACAGTAAAGTCGGAATAGCAATGCTCTCACCCCCTAGGATTGTTCTATATCGAAAACGCTGGTTCTTTTCAGGAGACTTTCAATCAGGGACGTGAACTGATTTTGAACCGAACCGGTTTTGAACCGGAAAACCGCTTTCTTCTATTAATTAACTGAACCCTTAATCGAACCGAAATTTTCCACAAATGTTTGATCCGAACCGAAAACCGAACCACTTTCCTAAGGGTTTAATGGTTCATTTCAACCAATTTTCAATAGATAAATGTACCCACTTTTTTTTCTTTTTGTTAAATCTATCATGTTTGTTTACCATGTGACAATATCAAATGTAAAGACAACCCATCTCATTTGACAGACACTTGACCCTTAACCTTGTGCGCTGTTGCACTTGGCACATGACACTTAAACTTGCGCGTTATTTTTTTTTGTTTTTCGAACCGTTGAACTGAACCGAAACCCCGGTTCAAAGACCAAAAAACCGCATTGACGAACCAATCCAAAAGTGCAAAAACGGTTCGAACAGNTGTGACAATATCAAATGTAAAGACAACCCATCTCATTTGACAGACACTTGACCCTTAACCTTGTGCGCTGTTGCACTTGGCACATGACACTTAAACTTGCGCGTTATTTTTTTTTGTTTTTCGAACCGTTGAACTGAACCGAAACCCCGGTTCAAAGACCAAAAAACCGCATTGACGAACCAATCCAAAAGTGCAAAAACGGTTCGAACAGTTAACCGAACCGACCAAATTTTTCATTCGGTTCACGTCCCTGCTTTCAATAATAATACCCAACTGTTTATTTAACCATTTTTTAATACTAACGATTTTTTATTGGCCATCCCATTGCATTTTTCGGATTTTTTTGTGGGTTTTTGGTGAATCTATAAATTATAGTTGCGATGAGAAAATAGTTAAATAAACAATTGGGCATTATTATTGGGAATCTCCTACAGATAAACAGAGTTTTCTGGTAGAAAAATATTGATTTTAAACTATTCGATACCATTTCTTCGAAAAGTGGTTTTTTCCCCATATAAAATACATGGACAACCTTGGGCGCTTTGGGCGACCTCTAAATATTTTTTGATTTCAAAACAAAAAACTTTTTCGGTATAGAGCAATCCTAGGGGGCGAGAGCGTAAACACTTCGACTTTACTTTTTCACATGCATTTTTAGACCACCCTAATGTATATATGTATGTATAAGGCGATCAACGCCTGTGTGGGTTCATATTGTGGTTAGCGTCATACCATTCTCAAAACTGATAGCGATTGTTGAGTGAGAAAACAAATGCTTTCGCATGGCAAATTAAATATAACTCAAGCGCTAACTAGTTGCTCAGCTCAGACACATTAAGCCCGGCAAGAGATTCGTACATAAATAATTAAGCAAAATGAAAAAGTTTGCCGTGTTCTTATTTTTTGCCTTCTTTTGTCTATCGATGCAGGTAAGGCAATCGATAATGGTTTAAAAATTTATAAAAGTTTGCAAAGCTTTCTTTCCCCTTCAGCTTGTCACGGCATCGCAACAACAAGAACGTAATGACAACAAGATAAAGGAGAGCAATGAAACAAAATCCAATAAAATTTCTTCTCGCACATTACTTTTGATGCTGGTTCGTACAACAGTTGACGTTGTAGGCAAATATAGTAATACTATAATACTGGAAAAGGGACAGTTTATTGCCGACCTGCTAACAGAACTCATTGTAGTACCCAAGAAAACGGCATACATCGAGAAGCTCATTCCTGAATTGAGCAGCATTTTGAAACAAAAAGAGACTTGATCTCTCCCTTCCCGGATGTTACGAAAAGGCATTGGTTTTGGAGGCAATCTTAAAAACGTTTGTGGATTTTGATCGCATAGCGCAAAGTGGTGATAACAGCAGTGAGACTGCGATGTTGAAGGAAATTTTCCAAAAAGTGGGTCTAAAAGGACTGTATGAACGCCTTGAAAAATCTGCTGGAGAGGAAGTTGAAAAATTTACCCTAGTTTATGAGCGTTTTTGGAATTCCCTGAGCGACGCAGAAAGAGAAAAGTTTCCAGATGTGAAAGAGTGGTATACAAGTTTTCAAGCAAAGGAATTTAATCAAGAGAAATTCCAACTTTTCAGTGATTTTATTGGTATGCTACAAAGTATAGCTCTTAGAATATAGATTAATAAAAATGAAAGAGCTTTGCACTTAAAATTTTGTATTACTTGAGCCGAACTAGCCATCAAATAAAGTGTGTTCGACGACTTTTTTATATAGAAAAAAAAAAAAACAAATGAACGAAAACTTCAAAAAATAAAAAAAATTGCCAAAAATCAACCGCAAGTTCTAGCTACTCAAACTTGCAATTACTTGGAAATATTTTTTTTATTAAAAATTCTTATTTTTGCGAGCGCTCACTGAAAAACGAAGACAGAGCGCTGAAATTTCTGCACAATTATATTTTTGTGAACGTCAACGAAATTTTCATATTTCACTGAAAGAAAAAAAAAACATTTGTTTTATTTGACACAGTCTTATATATGGGACGTTCCATACCAAAATGAACGGGGTTCACACTTCATGTGTTTGATTTGTTTCAAATTTTTAATGTTGATTGATAAATATATATAATAAACAAATATGAAATTTGAGCTTGATTAATACATTTTTAAAAACTTTACAGCACAAAAACAAATCGATTTAATAGTTTTCCAAATATCTCGAGAACGGGGCGAGGAAGAAATTCACACATACACACGTAAAAATTCTCTATGAAAATAAATATTAAAAAATTTTTTTTTCTTGAAAAATTTTTCACATACAAATTTGTTGATAAAAAAAAATTAGTTTTTGAAAATAAGTACGCTGTAGACAGTTTTTATTAGAATCGTTTTTTGGTGGTATGATCATTTTGCTTCATGGGAGCGTTTTCTATGTTTGTATATCTGCCACTTTATATTATACGGAAATGTATTTCATCAGCCCCGATTTCTTAGGAAAAACGATTATAAATATGTACATACATATGTATGTACGTATGCACAAATGAAATGTGAGCCATATCGTCTCTGCGATTCTCGAAAATGAAACATACGCATGTATTTCCATAGTCACATTTTGAGTATTTGAGTGATATGAAGAACATATACATAACTCTCGCACGCTGACTGAGCTAAAAATTGCGCGATAATTTCTTCTCAAATTCAGTCACATTAAGTTTGTCAAACGAATCGTACAAGAGCTTTTAGAAATATAACAAAATGGTAAAACCCACGGCTTTGCTAATTATTGCGGCTCTTTGTTTACTGCTGCAGGTGAGATAACCTGCATACACTAGGCGACAAACAATTATTTTCATGCAACATTTTTTGCATTAATTACTTATGAAAATATAGTGCATTCTATAATATAAACCATATAAAACAAAGTTTCGCACTTTAAAGTACGCAACAATTTAAAAAAAAAAAATTCATTAAAATTTTCAACTTTTTAGTCAGAATTTCTAGAAAATTTTCGAGTATGCAGTTGGGTATCCCATTCAATTTTAACCAAAAAATCCCGTTGATTTTTGAGATGTTTTTTTTTTTGCTAACGGATTTTTGCTCTTTTTTTTCCATATGAGCATGAATCTCTAATGAAATAAAATGCGGGAGACCGTTAGCAACAAAATTTCAAAAAATCAACGCCAGTTTCTGTAAATTGCTTTTATTATATAAAAAAAACCGCAAAAGCATCTCCAAAAAAATTCTCAAAAATTAGCGCGATTTTTTAGCTGGTTGAAACGTGCTCATAATTTGTCCAAAATTTAATGGGCTACAAAACTGCATATTTGAAATTTTTTTTAGAAATTCTGAAGAAAAGTTGAAAATTTTGATGAAATTTTTCTAAATTTTCGTGATTTTTATATAAAGTGTGATACTTTGATTTATACGGTTCATATTATAGAAGGAAGTATATTTTCATAAATAATTAACGCAAACATTTTTTCATGAAAATAATTGTGAATATTGTATTACATGGAACAAGATGTACACTTTCATTTGTCGCCTAGTGTATAAACATATGTAAATGCACTTTTAATATTGCGAAATGCAATTTTCTTTCTCTGCCAGTACGTCACAGCCTCTGCCAGCCAAAATACACTGAGTTCCATTGAAGAGGATGATAATATATTAAAAGTTGCCAATGAAACCCATACCAGTGACATTAACTTCTGCGTACTGCTGCGGCCGGTAGTTTTCAATACAATCATACACTCATACGGGAAGAAAGTCAGTTTTTGACCAATTTTCTGGCAGAACTCAACACGCTAGCCGAAAAAACTGCCGGCATCCAAGTGCTTATTGATGATGTGAAGAGTATTTTAGAGCGTCGATGAAAAATTGACTTAACGATCTGTCTCCACCTGTATTATAGCAAAAAGCCGATATTGTGAGTATTTTCGTAAATATGTTTGCTGATTTTGAGCGCATCGCGCAAAGTGGCGATGAAAGCGACAAAACTGTTGCATTAAAGAAAGTCATGCATAAATTGGATTTGAAGGGATTGCATGAGCACATTGGCAAATCTGAAAATGAGGCAATTCAAAAATTTACCCTAGTATATGAGAATTTTTGGAATTCGTTGAGCAAAGCAGCAAGAGTGGAACAACCAGTTTTGAGTGAGTGGTATAGAAGCTTTCAAACAAAGGAAACATATAAGGAAAAATTCACCAGTTTGGTTGAATTTTTAAACCTCGTTCTACTTATGCCCGCATTCAATGAAATTTGTGAAAATCAATAAATCTTAAAATTTAAAAGATATTTATATATAAATTATTGGAAGTCTCTTAAATTAATTTTTCTCCGCTAAGAGTATGGAGGTATAAAAGCTGAGTTAGTCTACACTTACAGGACACTGTTGGCTAAGATATTAAAAACTTTTTCGTAAGATAAATGAAAGACAGATGGCAACTTACTTCGAAATACTTTTGTTGTTCTAGCACAAAAGTTTTAGAAAGAAAAGCGCTCTCATTCTCCACTCGTGGTGAAAAGCTATTTTCAGAGAATGGAACAGTCGCAATGGCCGAGTGAGCAAAGCACAGGCCTGGCATTCGAGAGATCCGAGTTCGAATCGTTAAGTTTCGAGTTTTTACTTAAATTTTTTTTATTTTTTAATATAATTTTCTTTCAATTTTTCGATTTTATTGTTTAAAAAAAAAATTTATATTTTAATTTAATTTGCTTTTTGGAAACATATTTTATGCATTTTTTCCTTTTATACTAAAATTTTCTTTTACTGTTTAGATGTTATTGTTTAAAAAAAAAGAATATTTCTTTTTAAATTTCATTTAGGTATTTTTAGGAACTTATTTTTTTAATTATTATTTATTTTTTCTTTTTTTAATAAAATTTTCTTTTAGTCCTTAGATTTTATTCTTAGAAAAATTATTATTTTTTTCAATTAAATTTAATTTTTAGAAACTGATTCAATTTATTTTTTCATTTTTCTATTTTAATTTGTTACTTTCATTTTCTTTATTTTATTTTTTATTTTATTTAAAGGATCATATTTTATTTTTTAGTTTTTTTTTAAATATTTTTTTCTTTTAAGTTTTCTCTAATAAAAAAGCAGATAACGAGAACAAAAGTTATGATCGAAACTAAGTGTCGTTATTGTGGTTTTGTTCCCAAGAACGTTTAAAAACCCAAACTGAAATTAGAACAAAACTTGCGGGAGTGTTTTCAAAAGAACGAAAGTGAGGAAAAAATTGTAGAAAACGTTTTCAACGGGAACTCTATAAAAACGAAACCCTGTTCCCAAAGAGAGTAAAATGCGAATAATACTTTCGGGAACTTCTCTAAAAGAACAAAATGGAAACAAAAGTCTAAGAAACTTTCTGACAGAGAACGAAACGGGAACAAATCTTCTGTCAACCATTCGCGAAGTTTGAAAGAAATGAAAGATAAATTTGCAAATTAAGTCAACGAAAGACTTAAGATACGAACTTTTCTTGCACAGAAAATGAAGAATGATCCAGCTTTCTCTCTGGCTTAGAATTAACAGTCATGGTTGTCACTGAAATAATTTTTCATACCAAAACACGCAGACGTCCCTCACATTCTTAACGTTAAACTCTCAAAACGTTTGTTCGCGTTTTGTTTTCTAGCAGAACGCTCCCCACACTTTTTTTTCTTATTTGATCCTCCCTAAAAGCGTTCTCGACACTTTCGTTCCCTTACATTCTCATTGAGAATGTTCCCGAGAGTTTTGTTTGCATTTCGTTCTTTACGGTAACGTTCCCGCACCTCTTGTGCTCATTTTGTTCCCGTTCCAACTGCGTTTAGTCCCCTTTGGTTCTTTTGTGGGAACGTTTTTGACATTTCATTTTATTCTCGTGCAGAACTAAATCAAAATCGCAGCATTTTCTCGGTCCCTGAAAAAAAGCTTTGTGTAGGATATCAACGAAAGGCCCGCAAATGCCATTAAGAATGGAACACAACATCGTTTAATTTTTCGCCACGGCTTCTTAATAGCCTTGATTACATTAGGTCCGCTAACCCTTTCCCTAGAGTGCGATGAGGCATATTATAGGTCTAAGACTCTAGGTGAACCTCTTCAGCATGTCATAGCGAACGTAAGGACAGAGAGCTCTCATGTAGTGAGCTTTCAGACAACGAGTGACATGTATTTTGCTTTCAGGAGATAATAGCAATTGAACTTGAAAGGAAGGCATATCTACATCATTTCAAGTTCGTCTTCTATGTTTTCGTTTTGTAGGCGTCTATGCCCCGCTATCTACACATGTAAGGTGATTAAGGAAATCTTGGGGCATAAAGTTTGCGATTTGCAGCAGTGAATTACTAGAGGGTACGGCTTGTCATAAGCGGGACAAGAAGCTTAGGAAGATTTTTTTCTGTCAATTGAAAAGCTGAAAAAATTTGCAAAAATTGAATATTCCGCGTTTCAGTAGAATTTCTCGTTTGGCAACCATGTGAGAGTAGTATATTTTGCTTGCCCACCATATTCAATTTTNTAGTGAATTACTAGAGGGTACGGCTTGTCATAAGCGGGACAAGAAGCTTAGGAAGATTTTTTTCTGTCAATTGAAAAGCTGAAAAAATTGAATATTCCGCGTTTCAGTAGAATTTCTCGTTAGGCAACCATGTGAGAGTAGTATATTTTGCTTGCCCACCATATTCAATTTTTAATAACTTATTTGTGAATCTTCATAACTGCAGCACGATTTCTGTGAAAAAAAAATACTTGTGTAAGTATAATCTTTACTCCGAACCAGTGATTATAATTACCGTAAGCAATCGTAGAATATTATATCTGCCATATCCACAAATGCATTATAGGCATTAAAATCTAATCTTTTTGAGTATTATTTAAATGAGTATCGTATAATAGTAATTTGCAATGCTAAAGCGCATATAAATTAAACGTTGATTGCTGCTCAATTCAGTTGCATTAAACTCATCGAGCGATTCGTTTGTAAATTTATAGACAAAAAAAAAAAAAAAATAAAATGATAAAGCTCACATTCTTATTAGTTTTGAGCGCGACTTGCTTNAAAGCGTTGATTGCTGCTCAATTCAGTTGCAATAAACTGATCGAGCGATTCGTTTGTAAATTTATAGACAAAAAAAAACAATAAAATGATAAAGCTCACATTCTTATTAGTTTTGAGCGCGACTTGCTTGTCGCTGCAGGTGAGATAACGAACAAAAATTTCTAGTAGATATATTTTTACAAAAACACCTGCATAAAGCTGTCAATATTTTCCAGCTTGTTGCGGGTTTTCCCTATGAAAATGCTCTAAATGTCATAGAAAAGGACGATAACGATTTAAATGGATCGCCGCCTAGTGAAGAAATAAATTCTGATGAACTTTATTTTCGCACACTACTCCGGCCGGTAATTTTCAAAACGCTTGATCTAATGCAAGCCCATACAAACACCTTGATACAAGAAGAGGGTCAGTTTCTTGCCAACCTATTAGCCGAATTCGAGGCACTACCCGATAAAACCGCATACGTCGAAGAACTAATTCCTCAATTGAGAAGTATTTTGGCGCGTAGGAATAAACTTGATTTGCATGATCTCTCCGCACCAGCTGTTTATGAAAAGGCAGTTATTTTGAGCGGCATTGTGAAATTATTTGCCGATTTTGAGCGTAAAGCGCAAAGTGACGATGACAGCAGTGAAACTGTGTTTCTAAAAGAGGTAATACACAACCTGGATTTGGATGGATTGAATGAACGCATTGGCAAATCTTTAAAAGAGGCAATACAAAAATTTACTGTGATTTATGAGCAGTTTTGGAATTCACTGAGCGAAGCTGAAAAAAGGGAACATCCAGTTTTGAGTGAATGGTATACAAGTTTTCTAGCAAAAGAATCCGAACAGGAGAAACTTAAAAGTTTCATTGATTTTATTAGCATACTTCAAGGTATAGTTTTTAACAATGTGAATTAAAAAAAAAAAAAATCTTATTTTGATATTAATGTAGAAATATAAAGGGTGCTAAGCACAGCACGACAGCATAGCTCTTTAAGCTTGTTTACAGTTAGCATCAGCAACAGCAACACCTTTGGTACTCTTTTTGCTTCCAGCACGACGACCGCAAAGTTGGGTCGAAGTAAAATTTATTACCCATTCGATCGAGCGCATGCGCATTAAATATTTACTTATACTCGCTTGTACGAGATAGTACCTTACATACTAGAAGCTATTGCTGGCGCAGGCGTGTATGCATTTTACGCCCACTACTGTTTGCGCATATTTACAGTTTAGTGCCCTGGGTACTGTTGAGTATTTGTTTTCGCACTTCGCTTGCTAGGCTGCTGCAACTATTGTAAACTTGGCCTGCAAGGCTTTTCAATCAAGACATTATTTACGTGCATATATAAATAAATTTGTGGTGCAATGTGTGGGCTAACAAGGCAGCCTGGCAGTAATGATATTATTGACTAAATATATGTACATATGTATGCATGTATGCATAAGTATGTGTGTGCAACCATATGCAAATTTGCAATCTTCACTTACCTGCATTATTTATGATGTTCAAAATATGCCAGAAGCTTTCACGGAAGGGAGATAAATTTTGTATGCACACAGGTACATATACGTGCATATATGTATGTACATATGTTTGTGTAAATAGTATATGAATAAACTTATTAAAACCGTGGCTCATTAGAAATTCCTGTGAGTTGGCTTTCTTTTTTTAAGAAAATGCAAATATAATTGTGTGGGAAGCAAATTACTTAATTCAAAAGTAAAGTTTACCACTTAATATTTTTTCTCCAATCCTCGACAAAGAAGGGATTATGATAACCTATAATGATGTCAATAAAAGTTGAATTTTGGTTTCGATTATAATCGATAATGGTATAATTATACTACATGACAAAAAGCTGGAGGAGATTACGATATGTTACGTAAATGCTTTAATAAATAGATACCTATATATGTGTGTTTCTACAAATTATCATAATTTCTTGTCAATTTTCGTTTGGAGAAAAATCGGTTTCGGCGTTCTGCCATCATCAGTGTAATTTTTTATTATCTTAGATTATTTACTTACCCTATCGGAAGAATCAACCAAGAACAACTTTTAAAAGCAGTTCGATCAGAGCCTGAAGATTTTCCTAGTGGAGTCCAGGAAATGTCTCGCTAAATTGCACCGCGGAAGTCCTTTGAACACTTCAAAAATTTGGAGACTACTAAAAATCTATAATAAGCTCTAAACTAAACTAGACTTTATAGGTCTTTGGAATTATTTGAAGTTCGTACAGATATTTGAATTCCGAATTTTACAGCTAAAAGGCCATATTGGCCATAAAACTACTAATGAAGCTATTTGCTGTTTAGATTCACGCCGAAAATGTCTTGGTATCTGGTAACATGANGCATTTCAAAAATTTTGAGACTACTAAAAACCTATAATAAAGCTCTAAACTAAACTAGACTTTATAGGTCTTTGGAATTATTTGAAGTTCGTACAGATATTTGAATTCCGAATTCTACAGCTAAAAGGCCATATTGGCCATAAAACTACTACTGAAGCCATTTGCTGTTTAGATTCACGCCGAAAATGTCTTGGTATCTGGTAACATGAAATCATTATTTTACTTCAGCGGATGAACCGGTATAAAACTAGAAACTCACATTATTTTCGTAGAATATTTCCACAAATCCAATTCGAGATCTAAAATATTGAAGTGACTGGGATGCAAAAACTTTTGTTTTGATTTTCTGTTGGGCAGCAAGATTTTTATATAAACATTTTTTTATTTTAAAGCCATAACAAAACTGTTAATTTTCGTAAACCTTTTTCTTGTGGTGCATTTTTAATTAAGGAAAACCGAAATTGAGTTTTTAAACAGGGTGAAAATCCTCTTGATTAAAATTATTGAATAATAAAAATTTACCTTTTTGAATAGGTGGCAACCCTGTCATTATTTTCGTAGAATATTTCCACAAATCCAATTCGAGATCTAAAATATTGAAGTGACTGGGATGCAAAAACTTTTGTTTTGATTTTCTGTTGGGCAGCAAGATTTTTATATAAACATTTTTTTTATTTTAAAGCTATAACAAAACTGTTAATTTTCGTAAACCTTTTTCTTGTGGTGCATTTTTAATTAAGGAAAACCGAAATTGAGTTTTTAAACAGGTAAAAATCCTCTTGATTAAAATTATTGAATAATAAAAATTTACCTTTTTGAATAGGTGGCAACCCTGTCATTATTTTCGTAGAATATTTCCACAAATCCAATTCGAGATCTAAAATATTGAAGTGACTGGGATGCAAAAACTTTTGTTTTGATTTTCTGTTGGGCAGCAAGATTTTTATATAAACATTTTTTTATTTTTAAAGCTATAACAAAACTGTTAATTTTCGTAAACCTTTTTCTTGTGGTGCATTTTTAATTAAGGAAAACCGAAATTGAGTTTTTAAACAGGTAAAAATCCTCTTGATTAAAATTATTGAATAATAAAAATTTACCTTTTTGAATAGGTGGCAACCCTGTCATTATTTTCGTAGAATATTTCCACAAATCCAATTCGAGATCTAAAATATTGAAGTGACTGGGATGCAAAAACTTTTGTTTTGATTTTCTGTTGGGCAGCAAGATTTTTATATAAACATTTTTTTATTTTTAAACCATAACAAAACTGTTAATTTTCGTAAACCTTTTTCTTGTGGTGCATTTTTAATTAAGGAAAACCGAAATTGAGTTTTTAAACAGGTAAAAATCCTCTTGATTAAAATTATTGAATAATAAAAATTTACCTTTTTGAATAGGTGGCAACCCTGTCATTATTTTCGTAGAATATTTCCACAAATCCAATTCGAGATCTAAAATATTGAAGTGACTGGGATGCAAAAACTTTTGTTTTGATTTTCTGTTGGGCAGCAAGATTTGTATATAAACATTTTTTTATTTTAAAGCCATAACAAAACTGTTAATTTTCGTAAACCTCTTGCTTGTGATGCATTTTTAATTAACTAAAATCAAAATTGAGTTTTTAAACAGGTGAAAATCCTCTTGATTAAAATTATTGAATAATAAAAATTTACCTTTTTGAACAGGTGGCAACCCTGTCATTTGTCGTTTAGAAACAACGCCCTTTGAATAGCTTTTCGATTAATGTCCATATTCTAACAATTCATTTAACTTATAAAATAATTTTATTTGAATCTAGTTTTGAAGCAGGTGTCTGTCTTCAAACGCTTTAGAAAATTATACATGTTTAAACAAAAATGTCTTAACACTCCTGCATTTGACACTTTAACTCGTGTATAATTTAATTAAACTCGTGTTTTCCAACAGGTGGCAACCCTCTTTAAAATATTTTCAAACTGCGACCTAATCAAACCTCTTTCGTCTGACACCTATACATATTCGAAATATCTAGTTATCTTAATTCGAATAAAATTAAATTTTTCAAATAGGTGGCAACCCTACATGTGGTTTAGAAATAAAGCCTTGTTAAGTCAATTTCGACTGATACCCATATTTTAGTAAGTAACTCATATAAATTAATTGAATATAATTTTGAAACAGGTGGCAGCCCTTACAAAACGACTCGATCATATTTTAAATATTCAAACTAAAGGTTTCTTTTCTTAACAAACTCTTGTTTGACTCCAGCATTTTAATTTTTCATATAGCTTACAAAAAATAAGTTGAAATTTGGCTTTTCAAACTACAACCTGTTAAAGCCTCGTTCGTCTGATCTCCATATTGTAATACAAATTTCAATAAAATAACTCCCTTAATTCAAGTTGGTTTTGATTTTTTAAACAGGTGGCAGCCCTCCTCCATGTGTATGGAATTGATTTTATACATGTATCTCCATACCAAGTTCCAGTACTCTACCAGTAGGAAAAATACCGTTTGTATTGGAGGTGCCGTGCCTAGGGTTGCCTACATTTTCTAAGAAATTTATAATACTTTTTCAAAAAAATCTGAAAAAAATGTAGTACACTTCAAATATATATAGTATTTTTTTTTTAAGAAAAAGTAAAAATGCTTTTTAAGTGTACATCTTTTTTCTTTTTTATGCATTTCCTCTATAAAAAAAATATATTTCTTTGAAAGTATCATATGCTTTATCGCTATCAATATTTAAATTAATATCAATCAAAAGTTCATTTTTTATTAGTGAGATATTCGCTTTATTTCTCTCATCTCACCATTTCAAAATCTTAATAGAAAAAACTCTTTCTGTGTATGCCGAAGTTGCAGGAATAGAGAGCATATGCGAAATAATTTTAAGTAAATTTGGTAAATCTTTCTACCTAAGTCTTTTTAAAAATATTGCCATTTTTGATCTGCGGACCCTTTGTTTGAAAGTATATTTATTTTAATATTGATATTCCAGTAAAAATGTCATCCATTTTCAAACATTTCTTACTTACAAATGACTGAAATATATTTATATTTATAACTGAAGAAATATAGTATTTTTGCATACTATATATTTTTCCAACAGTATAGTACAATACTAGATATTATAGTACGGTTGGCAACCCTAGCCATGCCGCCCTCTTGCCTAATCAAGTTAACAACTCCCCTATGTTTTAAGCTCGGCTAAATGACACCAGTGTGGAATATTTCATGATCATCGGTTGAGTAGTTAAAACCCGAAGATGTAACAAACAAACAAAATCACGTTCGCTTTTATAATATTAGTAATAGGATTATACATATGTATTTTCCACAATAATTTTTCATAAAAAACGTTCTCAAGCTCTATAAACAATTTTTTTAAGTGATTTATTTTAGGCCAAAAAACAGAAATAAACAAATTTTTGGCTTACTTTAAATAAATCCATCGGTTCTAAAACCCAGTTGTTGCTCCAGAGTTTTCGATAAGTAGCAAGGCAAGGCAAGGCAAGGCATCATGGATTAATTATTTTATTTACTCAGTTGCATACTAAGTCTGCCTTATTTCCTATTAAAATTCACAAATCAGGCACTCTCATCACTCACTGCATGCGCATCCCACTTGAAGACATTTTCTTCAAAATTTTCATGGCTGTATATCACATGTCAGCGCATTCTCTGCTTCCATATTGCTAATAAAAAAGTTCTAGAAGCGCGACTAATTCGCACAATTTGCAGCTGTCAGTCAGTCTAATATGTATAACTAAAGGCTGCTGGCCAGCAGTATGACTTTGAGTTAAAAATAAAAAAAAGGTGCGCCTCTTTTTATCAACGCTAAAGTAAAGTTTTCTCATTTTTATACATTTGGCCACCGTTTTAATTCTAGTTATGTTCCGTCTTCAGCATATCTTCCCTCCCACCGTATTGCAGTGGTTTCTTTTAATGCAATCTTCACGCTTTAAGCTGCATTTCACGCACTATGCTCTCTATAAAGGCCGGTAAGTACTATGTGTAATAGTAAAATGTACTTTAGACATCAGATTTTTATGGTTGTTACTATTGCCACTTACACACATACATACATATATGTGTATGTACGTACCCTGCAGCAAAATTTAGGGACAGTCTGGCAAAGCGCTAGTTCCGCCCTACAAATTTCAGAACTGTCTCTGAACTACTGAAAAAGGGATGCAGAGTTGGACGGTTGAAACTCATATGTTGCTAGTTGCGCTGTCATCAATGTTACTCATCCTGGTCATGTGAAAGCTGACAAAAGATGCACAAATGTAATATACTATATTTTTTCGATTTTCTTAGACACTAAAAGTAATAACAAACTGTTTTCGTTTATTTAATATGTAATTCTCTACATAGTTTATGGGGCAACTGCTCAAATATTTCCAAAAAAGTCGTTATTGGTACATTAATGTCATTTTTATACATATCTACGTACGTNAATTTTAAATGCGTGTTTGGTTTTAAGCGCCTACGCAAGCTTAGCAAAAGTTGGCAGCCGGTAGCTGTTGGAGGTTGTCAACAGTGCAGCTGACTGCTCAATTGCATTATGCGAATAAAGCAAGAATCAGAAATAAAATATAAATATAAAAACCAACTTTTGGCCACTACTGTAGCACAAACAACACATGTGTGCATGTGTCGTGGTGTTCGTTACAGTGCGCTCTCGAACATGTTCACTTAAAACATTTTGCTGTTTTCAAACTGCGCTTACTTCCCCTGCCAAACTCAGTAATATTTCTATATTGTTGTTTCTGTATGCTGTTGACAGTTATTGCTGCTGTTGTTGTTGTTATTGCTTGTGTAACAGCATCATTTCAAGTGCGCCAGCGCTTCTCCATTCAAATGTGGGCCATTAGGCAATTCCATTATGCCTGTTGCATTTATTCGCTGCGGCTTCTAAGTAAGCTTTACATATGTATGTAGATATTTCTCAGGTGTGAATGTATGTAAGAGAAGAGGGGTGATTGGAAGGAGGCAGAGTTTTGTTTGGTTGGGTTGTTTATATATTGGTATGGTGGCGGTTGTTGTTTGAAGGCGGCAACTGATTTTTGCTTGAATAACTACATACATATTTGCGGCAAATCTGGGGACTGGAAAATCGCTGTGCGGTTTTGTTGTTCCATTGTACAAATTCTTATATGTGTGCAAAGTATGTAGTAACTAAGCAATAGATTATTTATTCCAACGCTTAGGGTTCTGACTGTATTTTCAAACCGTATTTTCAGGGTATAAAAATCTGTCTAGTGGCCTAAAGCCAATTAAGTTTGAATTTTGACGTTACCTCGCCACATCACCGTGGAATCTACTGTACAGGAAACTAACATTGTGCATCAATTTTATAGCGAAGAAAAAAAAAAGACAAAACAAAGGGACAAAGAACTGTCAAATCGATTCAAGAATATGCCCGTTTGAATGAGGTAATTCGCGATTGTAGGAAAGCAAACAAATAAACTCTTGGTGCCGTCGGAAAGCGGTATTAGATACTCCCATACGAATTTTCTTTTTAGATGACTTAATGAAGGATAGGGTTAAGTATCCATACAAAATTGTTTAAGCACGTTTAAATCTCAGAGCTATAATCCTTGGGCTATGAGTACGGAAGGTTCTGCTCTTCAGTCGTTTCAACCAAAACTAAGATTTTTTGCTTTACAAGCCGCTTTTGCTTTTCAACGCTATTTTTGCATTGGTCAAGGCAAAAGTTCTTATCCGGCGTCGCGAAGCAAACTGGGCATTTGCTAGTATTTATACATATATATTTCACCGTGCGACAAATACAAAAAAAAATTCAAAACGCACAAAACAATGGGCCAAATATAGTAGTAAAGCTGCGTTTTTAATTTTTCACTCTGACGTCACGATTTCTTTAAAGGACTTTGAAATTTTAAAGATAAGATTAATTCAAAAATTATTCAAAACCATCAGTGGAACGTACAATGAAAATATGGGTACCAAATGAAACTCTATAGAATCGAACAACAAACAAGTTTTTGGTTTACAAGGACGAATAAGTATTGAAAATGCGCATTTTGATAAATTTTATTTTTTTAAGTTGATAAAGTCAGGAGGTTGAAATTCAAAGATGTGGTCGTGTTTATCAAAAATAAATATTGCAAATTTTTATGGATATTCAAGTATAAAATTTTAAAAGGAAATTTTCCATATCCATTCATCCTTATGCACCAAGAAATTTAATATTTTTTAATTCTACAAGATTTACTCTTTTTTTTTTTCGTATGTATGTACGTCCTTTTCTAGAAAATTATTCAAGTTTCGTTACACGTTTTAGTTATTTTATTTAGCTATGATTTTTCATTTCAACTTTTTAAGATTCTTCTACGCATTCACTCCTAAATATAATTTTTCCAATAATTTAATCAACACTTCACTTCTAGCATACCCACAGTGCGGAGGTGAGCGCTTGTAAAGCGGGCCAACTGGCAACTTCTTCGTTGATTGCAGACAATACTTTGTTTTATTTTTGTGGTAGTTTTTTTTTCTTTTATTGGTTTTTGTTGTTATTATTATTATTATTTTTTTTTAATTTTCTTTTTATTGTTTTCAATTTTCCGACAATTTGTACTTCCAACTTTCTGGTAGTTTGCACCCAACGACCGCAGCCGCCACCACTCCAGTTCCCTCGCACAAGCAGAAAAAAAAGCACAGACGCGCGCGCTCGCTAGTGCAAATGAGATTTCTGTTTACTTAGACTTGCTATATTCTTTGTTGACTTTATTGCCATTTTTTATGCCGCGTTTTTGCAATTTACAGTAACTTAGAAGCGCACCACAAACCCAGCTAAGAAAACTGCAAACACAAACGCACTCGTCGATGCAAGTATAGTACAACTGCTGCTGCTGTTGATGTTGTTGCTGAAGAGGTTGTGCTGCTGTTGGCCAACTCTTTGAAAGCCAGTTGCAGAAAGACCAACAAAATGAGCAGCAAAGAACAAAATAAAATAAAAACCGAACTTCAAGCGCTAAGTCAAACTTTTAAATCTTGCTGCTTGCTGGTGCTTGTTGTCTGCGTCTAAGTCAAATGCACATACACACAGAGCTAGAAATGCATTAAGTCACAGCGGCATACATATGTACACAAGTACGGTTTTACATTTGTCCCGAACGCCAAGCTAATAAAACGCTTTAACTAACAGCTACAACAACAAAAACAGGCACAGTTTGCGGATTGATGTAATAGCTCGGCTCGCATTAGAGCGCATCTTTGCTTACCGCACACTTCTTCAGCCTAATTCACTATTAGTTCTGTAATCTCACTATTTTATGCAATTTTTTATTAACTTCTCACTTTGCTTTTTATTTAAATTTATTAAACATACAGTGGCTGTTTTTCACGTTTGTTATTCTTTTTATTATATATTATAATTAATTAATTATTATTATTTTTTTTTTTTTTAATTTCAAATTGACCATCTGTTGTATCTAACCGTTAACTGTGTTGGCCCGATGCACTGCACCCATGACCATTAGACCAAGAGCTCGTATTGAAAACTAAACTTGCTAAGCGTTCAGCAGCTGGCGCTGGTAATTGGCCAAAATGTGTGTTGCCAAGAAATGCTTAGGTATGCGTGTGTGTGCGTTGCTACGAACAATTTCTGTTGGGCAGCTCAACTGTTGCTTGCGAACATGTTCGGCATGTTCGACTGACTTTGAGTGTTCCTTTTAGGGTTGTAATGTTGTGTTTTGTTGGGGCTGGAAAGTGTGCAGGCACAGTGTGGCGAATTGGATTGTATAGTTGTTAGAAAAAAACAGTAAAGATTATCGTAAACTATGAGAGCAATTTTGTTGAGAGTTGTCTCATGGGCGCCCAAACGCACACTGATTCTTATGGGTATTTTGTTCTCCGGGAAAATTTTCATTTATTCACATCTATGTTTACATGAAGCGTTCGCATGCGGCATGTGTGGGAATGAAGTGAAAATATATTTAAAATATTTAAAATTTGGCAATTAGTTCTGGTCAAAAATGTCAAATAGAGTAAAAAATTACGCTTGGGCTTTTTGGCCGTGTGTAATGATAAAAAACCGGAAGGAAGAAAATTTAAATTGGTGGAATAAACGCGAGTTTTTATAAATTCACTTTAAATGGCAAAAATCAGCAAAAAACCGGCAGCAAAAAAAAAATATTAAGAATCTACGCTGAGCTGCTAAAGAAAATGTTTACTTGTAAATCATCGTGAAGATTTCAAAGATCACTTGGGAACGGTAGTTTGAGCGCTGTGGGCGCTAGACTCAAGAAAATATAACACCGCACGGAGTAAATTTTACACACACAAAAATTAATGTATTCGCGAAAACACGGGCAAAATACAGTAAAAATGCGTTTTTAATTTTTCACTCTGGCATCAGGATTTTTTTAAAGCACTTGAAATTTCAATTGATTAAATCAATTATTTCAGTGCAATGTAGAATAACAATGTGGGCATCA